GTGGTTGAGCCACAGAATAATACTGCATGCTGGTTTCGTCTCGCAAAAGGCGGGAACAAGTGTGTTCTGTCCTTCTGAAGACCAGTCCCCAGTCAATGGATGTATCATTATGTGAAGTTGGTGGTATAGCGGTAGAATGACTGCCTACCACACATTTAGTCTGGGATCCAATTCTCGGTCGACTCACCCCTGAACCTCTTTTAGCTGATGGTAAGTTAGGTAAAGAGGGCAGGTTGGACATGAGGCTAGCAACTCCATCCTGTAAAAATACATACCACTGCTAATGAAACTTCGAAACTCTAGCTTGAAGGCCTATATTCCACCGGAAAATCAAAGGAATAAAATTTAAAAAATAGTAATAATGAAGGGTGATCTCGTTTTCAGCCGCAATCCTCACTTCTGTATACCTTAGTGTCAGAGTGTTAAATAGAAGCGCCGCACTCCCAGCTAGACTGTACTAAGATGAACAGCTTTCTACCAGGAATTAGCAAATGGTCTTCGTCTAACAGCCTTAAACTAAATCCTTCCAAATGTCAGATTGTTAATTTCAGTTTCCGATGTTAACGAAAGTTAAATGAAGTGGTTGGTTCCTATGACCGTTGCAAAATTGATGATAGTGAGGATATAGAAACCAAGTCTGAAGTTAAGTATCTTGGTTTAATTCTCTCTTCTGACCTATCCTGGTCTTCCCATGTCTTAGTGATTTCTAAAAGAATATTTCGTCTGACTTTTTACACTAAGAAGTTAAGGCACTCAGGTATAACTCAACCCCTTTTCCTTCTCTTACAGTTTGTCAACTCGTGCATCTTACCTATTCTTCTTTACTGCTCACCCTTATTCTTTCCTGCTTTGCTTAAAAAAGACTATGTCATACTTCGTAGAACTCTGAAGACTGTCAGTGGAGCAAGTGGTGGTATCCGACTGGGTCATATCGTTGACATTGTCACTGATAGGCAGTGATGTCATGCAACAAATTTGCTAAAGGAATTTTGTCAGACTGTGAGCATCCACAGCAGCACCCGAAGCTCCAACCTTGTGTCTCCTCAAGTAAAACAAGAAGTCTTTTCAGAACACTCTGTGCACGTACGTCTAAGTATAAAAATTCCACTATACCATATTTGGCAGCACGTACTTTATGAGATGAAAATAGTTTCAGGCACGGAAGAACTAACTAACCTTCTTTGCACTATTAAATAAACCATTTCCTCCACCCTTACAACATCAACCTTTATTTTTATTGTACTTCTGATATTTATAATCCTCTCAATTTTTTTTGTTTTTGTCTATTTTATTTTTCATAAGTGTGAACATCATTTAAGCTGTGCTATAACTGTTAATTTTGTATTTCCCCTTATCATACTACATCAATAATCTATAGCATGCTAAAATTTCCAAAGTGAATCGACAATACTGTTTGAAACAAACTCACTGTTATTATTATTATTATATTTAATATTCTCAATTCGTGCTTCGAATATTTTTGACTTTGAATCGTTAATGTGAACAAACCCTCTGGTTAATTTTGTTTTAATTTTTAATTTTATTTATATTTTGAGTAAATCAGATGCAAAATATTGTGACAAATGCTGAGAATTCCATTCTGTATTATAAGTACTGTTTTTCGAATAAAGCAGATTATTATCATTATTTTTATTAATTCGATGGGCTGATTTAAATTCTCTCCGATTAACAAAACGGAGTGTACCTTGTTTTGCGTATGCTTTAAACATCAAAATGTTGAAAACAAAACGAAACAGGATCCACTAGAAAGCTAAGCATCTTTTTCAACTAGGATTTCATAAAGAACAGCTATCAGATAGAAAACCATTGAAAATGCATAAGTATTGCACAGCTGTTTTGTCCCAGTTTGGGACTCTTCACGATCATGTACTCATGATCTATGGTGAATATCAAACCCTGCACCTTCGGGTCATGAGATGAGCTTGTTAGCATCTAGCGACTGAGAGGAAATCCAATGACGTAAGAACTCTAACTTCTGTCAGTTTGTTTAAATACCAAAAAGCAGTTCAATATTCGTGACTACTGTCCATTCGAAGTATCCAATACAATCAGTCCTACAGGAAGTCACTTGCAAGCCTGAATAGATCAGTGATAACCTATTTGATTGTAGGTGGTATTGGGTAATGTGGGTTAGAATTTCAGAAGGTACATGAGTTCTTTCAAGATGGTTGTAGACACGCCTGCCTTGCTAAATGATGAGTGACAGTCAACTAGCACGAAACTTAGGTTAGGTGAGGCTTCCTGTGGCCGATTACCTCCAACTATCTAATGTCGACAATTCAAAGTGCACAGTGATGGCGAACCACCTAGTAGTGGCATGGTGGCCACACTAAAAACTTAACTAATAAAATTCAGGCAGCACCAAACAAGGACTAGACATGCTACACCAATCATACACAACAATAATTGGTAAAATAAAGTAACACATTCACGTTTTGGTTAGAAAAGTGACTCAGTATAATACGAACTCTAGCCTGATTAGTACTCTTATCTTTTGTGATGTGGTAGTGTTCTCTGAGCTGGATAGTTAATTTGCGAAGCTTCCATCGCCCTACCAGGTAACATCTTCACTTCAGCGCATACTTCAATTTGCTAAAGTGAGCTCTTAGATTTCCCCGCGAGTTTATTAATCATCTCTCTTGGTCACCTTGAGTGTAACTGGTTGTCTTTGCGTGTTTTCACACACCCTCTAGGCTACTTGTATTGCCACTGATTGTTTCTTTGACTTGAACTTTGACCCTTTGTGTGTGTGAGATTCCCTTCTTATCGGTTGGTAAATTTTGTCTATCTCGATGTGTCTATTGATTGATGATTCACTAGAATACCAGGCTTGTAAAAATTCTCTAGCATTGTTGGTGTTTCCTCTGTGCAATATTTGAACAGTCGAATTGATATCCGTGGTTGTCTATATGTAGTGATATGAGGGAGTGCATGTCATGTCTTTTGATGGCTAGCTTGTATTCGTGGATAAGAAGACGAAGGAGACGTCCACTTTGGCCAATTTAGTGTTTTTCGCAGTTGTTACAATTTATTTTGTAGATGATGTTGGTTTTATCTTCTCTCGTTGTTGAATCTTTTGGTTGACATAGAGCTGAGTGAAGTGATTTTGTTGGTTTGCGTGCGACGTCAACTTTTCAAGGTTTGAAGAGTCTTGCAGTGATTTCTGAGATGTCCTTTATATATGGTAGGGTGATTTTCTTTGGGGGCCTTTGATTTGGTAGGTTGACTTAGGGAGAGATGCCTTTTGTTGGAGTTCCGTGGATATCCATTCATCTGGAAGACAGACGTCCATGAGACATCTTTTTTTTTTTCTATAAGGTGGGAGTGTTGCAATGAGTCCTGGCTGGTCCTTTTTAATAGTGTTTGTATACAATTCCTTTTGTGTGTTACTGGATTGTTGTTGTTGTAATTCAGCATTACGATACTGAATTCAGTATGCGCTGAAGATGTTGCATAGTAGGGGCGATGAAAGCTTCGCAAATTAACTATCTAGCTAACTCAAAGAACACTACCACATCCAAATCATCCACCTGAGCTACTAATCTTTTCCATCATATTTAACTCTTACCTTTTTTGTAACATTCCGTAAACTAACGCCTCTATTTTTAAACCAAACAAACCAGCAGTAATATTTTCATTTGCAGAGATGAATAAATTAAAAGTCAAATCACCAGCTTGCAACCACTTTTTATCCTACCTCTAGGTACTCTTCAACCTCGCCTAATTTACTAGCCGTTCTCGAACCCGGAAAAAGAGGGGAAGTCGGTTGAGAGGGTATCAACCTCTGCCCGATGAAATAATCAACCTATTAGCTAGATAAATTCCCCCTTCGCTAGAATCGGAAAGACGAAAAGAAGCATTTTAGTTAATGCCTTCAGGAAACAAATCACTTAATGTGTATTCTTTCGGAGAAAGCAAAAATAAGCCTGGGAACTTGAAATGTTAGTATGACAACTAAGTCGGATGCGAAAAGGAATCAACGAGTTGATCCTGAGTTCGACGGTGACAAGAAGAAGATTTCACAAGCAAATAATAAAAGCGTATGCTCACTCACGGAGTTAACTAAAATAGATGGCAGAGAACAGAGTGGAACGATGATGTGCCGCAGAAGTCCTTCGTTCCACTCGGAACCAAAGTGACGAATCATAACTACGATAACAGATAATGCTTCTCTGATAAGTGAATAGAAGAAGCGTGATTAAGAATCACCTCAAGTTGACTTTTTCTTAACTTCGAAACACATAAAATTATTTTCAAGACTTGAATTGTAAGGATTAGATTTGTTTTTTGAGTTTAACCACGGAGGATTGATAATTTTTCTTTGATTATAGCTTGAAGCCAGACAGTATTTTAGGTACAAGTCTGGAATTTTCAGCATATGATATCGGTAGCCCAAATTTTGCAGGCCGACCATAGATATCAGGTGTGCGTCGGCAGGGGATCGAACCTCGGACCATATGCATGGTCGGCGAGAGTCCTGACCTCTGTGCTACCGACGCCCAGTTACAGAATCACTGAAAACCAGCTCAGTTGTCCTAGTTTGGGATTCTTCATCAGTCCGCACCCACCATCGGGGTTCGAAAATTAATCTGATGCTCTCTAGTGACTTGCTACAGAACGGAGTTTCCCAAAGCTAATTTTAATGAGACGTCGTGACCTGTGAGGTCCATCCGGTCGGGAATGAGGATAAATTTCCCGCCGATGACATTAGTTGATGCCAGTCGCACTAAATCACGAATTGATAGAAGTCAGAATTCATGAGCTGACCATTGAATCGGTATACAAGCTAGCTTTCCTTCTAACCAGAATGTCCTGGGTTCAAACTCCACCCCCCCCTCTAAGGTAAGTGCGCACTGCCGATAACTCCCAAACTAGTACAACTGAGCTGGGTTTTTTTCTCTAACTGATGATATCAATCCTCCGTGGTCATATTCGAAAAAAACACAACATAAATATGTATACAAACTAGATCGACTCACCTCACTTGTTCCAGGACGATAATACAATGTCGACATTGCGAATTAATTCCATAAAAATTATCAAAATTTATACAAAGAAAATCATAGTCCAATTGAAGTTTAATTCCTTTTCTGCGTGTTTTGTTTATTTTATAATACTGTTTGTTGCATTATATCCATTGAAACATTCAACAACAATAGTTAATAATAATAATACAGGTATCGTCCCATGTAGAAAAATACAATTAAAGGATTCCTTGTAATAACAGCAATCATCATCATTGTCGTAATCTATTCACCCTGATTACATCTGTTCAGAATTCATTTAGTTTAGAAACTACTATTATTATTGTTATTTGTCTCTAGGCGATTTTTTTCCTTCTCTCTGTAAAACATTAAACCTTATTACGCATACACAGTGTTTTGAGAATATTTTGCAATAACGTAATCGGTTGTCATGGTGATGTTAAATGTTCAAGGTTTAAAACAAATCGTATTGGTGTATATTGTGTTTTTGAAGAGAGAGAAAAATTGGATTGGTTTTCAACGGTATATATATATTTATTTTAGTGCTTATTTCTTAATTGTACTAGTAAAATTTTTGATAACAATTAGACAATATATTAAGCAGGTGGTTGGAAAGGTTAATTGAAATTTTTGTGTATATATTTATAAGATTTATAGGTAAAGAAGGAGGGAGAGGGGCCTGCGGCTGCAAGGGGTGGAAGATGATTGTTCCATTTCAGTGTACTTTATAGGATCAGTTGACCTAGACTAAGAAAAGTGTCTAAAACTAACAAGAATTTAATGTTCATGTATAATCCCCATCCAGGCATTAATGAAAACAAAACACGTAGATCAGTGAAGAGTCTCTTTTCGGCGGTAAATTCATTTTCTTAGCTGTACAATCGCAAATATATATGTGTCATTTTGTATGTATGTGTACATTAAGTTTGTCAGACAAAAATACAATTGGTTATAGTTATTTTAACTAAACAGGTGAAGATTGGTAATTGGAGTTATGTAATACAAAATCAGTCAAGAAAATTGAGTGCTAATGAAACTAGGGTGGTAACAAAGGTGATGAGTTGTCACCTCTACATGAACTTGGATTTCAAGGGAAATTTAGCAAGCGATATTCTCAAGAGAAGGATCACATCATCTCTGAGAAAAAAACATTCTTTGCAGAAACGCTAAGAATAGTGTTCTCCAGTCACCCACTGATCTGCAGAAGCCTCAAGGACAAGATCCCGCATCTGACCACTTCTATGTGCATATATCAGTTCACCTGCTGCTGTGGAGCCAGTCAGGTACATCGGTGGTTCAACGCTCACTCTGTTTAAGAGGATTCAAGAACACTATCAAGCCAGCATGGTTGTGAAAAGGCAATAGTGGTGCAATAAGGAGTGCGATAATTGAACACCTACCTAGTTAACACTGATCATTCCATCTCAACATACGCCTCCTGATTCAAAGTAATCTACAGAGTCAAGAATAACCTACCAAAGGCACTACGGTTTCGTCCTCTTTGTTTCGTTGAAGCTCTGGCCGTCCATTCACATAGAAAAACCGGAGCTGTACATACAAAAGAGAATTACTCAACCACTTCTACTGTATTGGTAACAACTTTTGTATTTTATTTATTTTTTATTTTGATGACTAAATTTTGTTTCTTTGCCTGTTCTTTAATTGCTTATAATTCTTGTATTCATTTAGAACTCTTAAGTAATTTCGTAATCTATGTGCATCTACCAATTCACCTGCTCGTGTGGAGCCAGGTATATCGGCCGTACTCAGCGTTCGCTATCCAAACGCGTCAACGAACATTTACCTTCATGGTTTTATAAAGGAGAAAACCGATGCCCCCGCAGCTCGATCCTTGAACATTTGATCGACTCTGGACACCAAGTCAAACCAGAAATAAACTTCAAAGTTATCTACAGAATACAAGGCAATCTTGCTAAAAGTGTACGGATCAAACTTCTCCACATCGCAGAAGCAATGGCAATTCATCTGCTAAATCCTGAACTTTGCATACAAAAGAAATTCGTTCATTCATTAAATCTACAATGGACGTAATCTTTCTTAATTTCAGTCTTACTAATTGTATTATTTTGTCTCTTGCATTTTATTATTTCACATCTTCACCTATATTATTCTCTACCCCACCCTTTTTTAATCTCTACCCTCATTAACAATGTTACTAACTTGACCCACGTCCAATTTCTAGTCAACTGAGTTACGTCATCCGATTAACTTACTTATTTTCAACTGTATTATTCTCTAACCCCACCTTTACTTGATTTTAAACACCACTCATTAACACTGTTTCCAACCTGACCTCATCTGAATTCTACTCACTTAATCAATTCTATTTTATTTTCCATCTTAACGTTTGTTTCCAAGCCAAAACTTACTTATATTACATAATTATCTAAACTTTATAAATCTAATGTACACACACACAAACAAAATTGTATAAATATGCGATTGTACAGCTAAGTGAATGAATTAGCCGAAAAGAGTCTCTTCGCTGAACGCCTTCTTTTCTTTTATAATTTCGTATTGTCTACTTTGTTCCTATGTGCATCCTGAGTAATACTCAGTCATCAAACTATTCATATTATTACATAACTTCTTTTAATAACTGTTTGTGACAACTCATCACCTTTGTTACTACCCTAATTTCTTTGAACACTTAATTTTCTTGACTGATTTTGTATTACGTAACTCCAATTAACAATCTTCACCTGTTTAGTTTAAATAACTATAACCAATGGTATTTTTGTTTGACAAACTTAGTGTACACATACATACAAAATAACCCATACATGTATATATTTGCGATTGTCCAGCTAAGAAAATGAATTCGCCGCCGAAAAGAGAATTTAATGTGCCTTTCATCCTAATTCATGAATTTTTAGTAAACCAAAATATATGGTGAATGTGTCGGTTGTTTACTGGCAGTGTGCTCGCTAATCATGCATTTGGTCCGAGGTTCGATTCCCAGCCGATGTACGAATAAACTCCGCCTTGTTTACCAGTCTACAGTAAGCCATGAAAAAGAAGGGGGGCAAGTTAAACTTTAAGCACCAGTAAATACCAATTAAGTGAGACTTCCCCAATGACCTTGAAACGCTCATTGAGCAAGTTAGTGAAACCTGGTAAATAATTTTCTCAAAAGAATGGATACTGAACAAAGAGTACTCTTTTCGATGACTTCATCATCGGGCTCTACAGTTATGTATACATTATAATGAATGAATGAATTAGTGTTATAAACAACATTAATGTTGTTTAAATAACATCGAATCAATAATATTGATAGATTACAGCTCAATAGCATCAACATAAAATAAAATGAATGTCAGAAAAATTAGGAGAGATAATATTACAGCTTCATGAATTTATGGCCTCTACTGAAGGTCGGCCAGGGAAGTAGTAGGGGCTAGCTGGACTTGCTTCTTTTGAACACAAAGCACTGGTTGTTTGAGGCGAATCGCGATAGCCGCCTCTGCTGTTTGGAGAATGCGGTGCTTCGATGATTTTGGCAATTTATTAGGCACCCGGTGGTACATGATAGAGAAGGATTCTTCAACGCTGGCTGGCTTTGTGACCGGTTTGCACCAGACCGTCCAATATCGAACTGTTAATGGTTTTCACTCCACCTTTACTTAGCCATAGTGGGAGATGTTCTCGAGTGAGCACGAAAAATGAAGTTCCTAGAGCAACGGTCGATATAACTCTCTCCATCACAAGCGTAGTTGAATTGATAGATACAATTTGAAGTGGCTAGTCTGGGTACTTCATCTTTCAGTCGAGGTAGCACCATCGGTCGTGTAGAGAATAATACGTGTAGTTCGCCAGCAATAATTTTTTATTTTATTTCATTATACCTTGATTCCACACAGTATTTTTGCACAAGTGTGAAATTTTCAGCATGTGATATAGGTAGCCCGAATTTAGCAGGCCGACTATTGATGTTAGGTGTACGTCAGCTGGGGGTTGAATCCCGGACTATGTGCATAGTCGGAGGGCTTCCTAACCGCTGTGCCACCGACGCACATCATTAATGAAATATGCTTATTGAAGTGTTATGTTATTGGATGGGATATCTGGTAGTTTTCAGGTCAGGTTTGAGAAAGATTAAGTTAAGGTTTAGACTAAGGTCAGGTTAAGGTTAGGTTGACCTAATAAGGACGATATTTTAGTGTCTGTTCGAGTTAGAATGGGGTTAGTTTAGAAACATTTTTATCCATTTTTATCAATTCACCTGCTTGTATGGAGCTAGGTATATCGGTCGTTCAACTCGAGTTTTGTCCAAGAGGGTGCCTGCATGGTGGTTACGAAGAGGGGGAAGTGGAGCAGTAATAAGCGCGATCATTGAACATCTGGTCGATAGTGATCACCCTATCTGTATAGCCTCCGCCTTTAAAGTCATCTACAAGGCAAAAAGTAATTTGCCAAAATCACGAAATGTCCGACTCATCTGTATTGCTGAAGCCATCTCTGGCCAAATCTTTGTATACAGAGAAAATTCGTTCAACCCCTCCAACTTTCATGGTCCTAATCCCTCTGTGCTCAAGTATGATAATCCCTAATCATATTTTGGCTCTACCAGTTTTTTCGTTTTGTCTATTCAATTTGTATACTCTTCCTTTACTGCGTCAATTGTTGCTACTACCACTATTCTCACTTTGAACTGTTCCGGGATTATTTCACCTGTTCCACTTGTCATTCTAAATCACTTCTGTTTTGCAACGTTAAATTTTTGTTGTCAAATTTCACACAATATTACGTAACGTTTTTATTTTATTCGATTTGCCTACAAATCCTATAATTGCACAACCTTTTTTCAAGTTCTATCCATCCTATGAATTTTTCTATATATGACATTGATTGTTTTGCCACTTAACATTTAACTATGATTATAATCACAAATATTTTAATTTTGCATTTCATACTATTATTATTTTATGCATTCACACCTATGACTAAATTCCCTCAGGGGGTTTAATTTCTTAAGGAAAACCATATATATGCACGATTGTACAGCTTGATAATAAATTCGTTGTTGAAAAGAGTCTCTTCACTGAATCACTTGTTTTGATTTTCTAAATGTCCTAAAAGGGAATTTTCCATGAATTAAGATATATTTTACGTTAGGGTTAGGTTAAGGAAGGACTAGGGTTAGGGTTGGGGTTAGGAGACCTAAATAGTTACATGCATCGGGTGTGGTTAAATTATTCTGTTGATACTCTAAAACT